ATTGTTCATTAATGATAATGGCTGCTGGTATGTTCAGAATTACCAATGGACATTAGTACGAGGTTACAAGGGGAAAGTTAATATGAAATTACAAAAAGAAAAGTTAAGGCATTAGATGTCTTTATTACAATTCGCCCCAGACTGAACGAATTATTTCCCTAAGTCTCCCCCAATCCTCGATCTGCTGAGAAGAAGTGACATTCAATTCAGCCACAAAATCATCATCAACCTCCAGCTTCTTGTACTGCTCGACCAAAGACTTGGTTCGCTCAATTCCTTGGGAGGCATTACGTTTTTTGCAGCCATCTCGTCTTGCAGTCGTCCATCCTTGCTTGAAGCTCCTTCATCTGTGCAGCCAAACTGGTCATCAAAGAGTCTTCAATCATAACTTCGGAAGAGATTTTTTCAATTCGTCCTCAGCTTTGTTGATCTCCAGAAGCAAAGACTCTCTTTCAGATACAACGCGAAGATATTGAGTACTTTTGGCCTTCAGTTCAACATTTTTGGCCAGCGATGAGAGAATCTCGGAATGGATAACTTTCAACGTCGCTTTAAAATCAGCAGAAAGATTGAGCGACGGAAGTGTCAGTGCTTGCGCCAACTTCGCGCTCAAATGCTCAAGCTTATCCTTATATTTGGCAGCACTAGCCTGATCGATGTCCATATTCATAAAGGACATAAACTCAAATATCGACTGCTTGAAGAACTTTATATCTTCCTCTGAAGAAGCAGAAGGACGACTGGTTGAAGCAGGGCGAGACGTCTTGACTTGCCCCCAGGAAGTGAACAAGTCCTAGATGGAACGCACAATCCTATCAGCATCCTGCAAAGAAAAATTGCCAACATAAAAGTTTTCACTATAATAAACAAAGTGGAAGTAAAAGTGAAGCAAGGATTACCTCATCAGCAATTTTGGGAGGTGGCATGTCCCCAGCCAAGTCTACCACTTTTGGCTCCACCACTTGTGAGGACTTCCCCTTGTCTGAGCGAGAAGGCTTTGTCAGAACGAGCAAACCCATGGGAACATCTGCAGAACTAAAAAGCAACAAATCAAAAACCAATAGCACAAGCAAAGGTAAAACATCAAAAAATGTATTACCTTCTGGTTCGACATTTGGGGAGTTGACGCCCTGGGAAGAAGGTGGCTCATCCATTGGTTGTGATGAGGATTCCGAGACTGAAGGTTTCTCTTTAAGCGTAGTCCCTTCATCAGCTGGTTTGGATGAAGCAGCCTCAGCAGAGGGTGATGGAGCAGGAGCTGCCAACACCAAAGCCTTCAGAGGAGAGGCTGAGCTTTTCTGAGAAATCCGAATAAACCATCAACACGTAGAAAAGTTTCAAGTATAGAAATGTATGTTTGTGAGTAAACTAATTTAATTACCTTCCTCCTGACAATGAGAGGAGTGTCGTCATCATCGTCATCATCATCCTCCAAAATGGGAGATGCTAAGGCTGACCGTTTGCGGCTTGGGGCACTCTTAGCTGCAGTGGGCTTGGTAGGAAGAGAAGTAGATGGACGAACAGACTGTTTAGCATGGGCAGAAGAGGAAGGACTCCTAATGGACACAGGGGTGACCAAAACAGGAGAAGTGGAAGAAATGTCTGGCTGATCTAGTGAATGGAAAGCGCGATTGGCATCAGTTACAAACAATCTGTGCTGCACTGATGGCCAGAGTTGTTCAAAAAAGGGATGGATGACATGGCTAGGATTGAAGGGGGCTAATGAAAAGTTACTCATCAAAAGAATATTGCGAACATCTATAACTTCTGCCTCTACCTTATTAATGGTGTGGAAGCGATCTATCAAATTTCTTGAATAACAAGGGGGAACATGCCAAGTTTGGCCAAAGCCAAGTTGACGAGCAAAAAATTGGGGAGCATATATTTCAACCTCGGCTTTGGCATTGGTTCCATTCAAAATATCATGGAACAACTTCCTCCCGGTCAAAAACTGAACCCAAACGAGCAGAGAGGTGCTCGCACTGTCCAGAGTGGATGGGGGTTGCACATAATCTGGAGTTAAAAAGGGAGGAAAATGAAAGAAAGAAGGAATTGAATTCAAAGTATAAAAGAACGAAAAGATGTCCCTTCTAGACATATTTACAGGGCTCAGTGGGTCAATAGCTAGCCTATAGCAGCTAGCAGAATGAAGGGAAAAGGATAAAGCACCAAGTGATGAAAAATAAGCTCTCAACCACATTTGAGTGAACCAAAGAGGTCCACTGCCAGTGGGAGATGCACCATTCTTCAATTGGAATTGGAGAGAAGCCATGCCTCTATAGAGGGCAGCCAAAAAGAAAGAACACAAATTCAGAGGCTTACCACTCGTCAATTCGTGCACTATGGGTAAATAGCTCATAGAAGGCTTCATGCTGGGCACACACAGAACATATTTACGAAGCCAAATCTAAAGAAAGGCCACGCGCTCAGCATGGAAAGGCTCAGCACTCGAGTGATTATAACAGCTTTGTAGGCTTGAATAGGACTTGGTGAGTTTTCTGTCAAATTTTAGGGCGACACCAGAAATTAAAATACCCGGGAAAATGGTATCGCCCAAAGGTGGCAGATTTACTAAGGCCCCAACATCCCTTAAAATAATGGATATGGGACCAAGAGGGAAAACAAAAGTATTATACTCAGAGGACTAAAAACTTAAAGCAATAGGGAAAAGCGCTGGATCAAAAATAGGGGGTTGAAGAGAGATTTCTAACAAATCAGAAATCCTAACACTATAAAAAATTATCTTAGTAGGACCATGGTCCACAAGGCGAGCATGCCATCTACGAAAAACAACATCAGATTTAGGCCAAGTGCGAATACCTCTTTCGCGAAGCGGCCTCAGCGACAAAGAGTTTAAAAACGGAGGGTCTTGAGTACAAGGGAATAGCTGGCCCACCGCCACTTGTTCGATGGCCTCGGCGTTGTTGAATGAAGGACCTAGATAGATCTCGTTGAGTTCGGCATTGGCCGGTGCAAGGAAGTTCGGAGTTATATAGGGCCGAGTAAGGAGTTTCTGGAAGTCTTCGAAACTGAAAGAGTCATCAGATTAGGATTGTGAAGCAGCCATTAGGAACAAAATAAAGTCTTGTTGAAGTTTGCTTGAGAAACGTAGCAGAGAAGCAAGAAGATGAACAGTAATATTGCGAGAGAGAAGCGCGAAACAATGAAGCGTGATTTAGTAGTGCGATAAAATGGCGTGTATTTGGGTGTTATAAGGGTTTGCAACGTCGCACCTTTTCAGGCTATGGAAGAAAATAATGATTGAAATTTTTGAGAATTTCAAATATTGTTGGGAAACACAAAGTAAATATGGCAAAAATTAATAATTGGTATTAATTCTGCCATATTGGGGGGTAATTGTTGAAACGCTAAAAGTGCAGCCCAAATCGAATGACCCAAAGAATGAAGCCCAACTGGGCAATTCAGGATAAAGGCCCGAATAGGGTTATCAATGAATGCAGTGAAAGTCCACGAATACGGTAACACCATCGTCCAAACTTGCAAGACACCCAGGATCTGAGGGAATGAAGTGCATTGCAATCACCCAGAGTTATGACCCTGTTCTCGTCCAAACCTTCGAACCGCCCAAGATCTTAGCAAACATAAGATGTTATGATTATCCAAAAGTGCAATTATCGAAGCAGTTATTAAGTAATCTTATAGCGTTCCACGATTCAAGGATGTTCAGTTGAAGACGGTTGAACGACAAAGAGTAGTGACAGCAGTTAGAGACGGCAGTTCTACGATAAGGTGGCCACCTGAAGAAAGTGGGCAGTTATTAAGCAATTAAGCGGTTTCTAAGCGATTGATCACGAAGAGGTCATCAAGAGAATATAAAAGGAGGAAAAGACATAAAGCAAAAGGACCTCGAATCAAACACTCTCAAACAGAGAATATGTAATTTCAATTCTTTAGTTTAGACTTAAAATATTTATTTTCAGTACTTGAGTGCTTGCGCCCCTTGGAGGCATTCTGTTTAAAGTTCCAATTATATAGTCATCATCAATAAAACACCCCTTTTTGGGACTTTGTCTCAAGAGGTTTGTTTCTTACACAATCGTCTGATCCCTTTTTAATTGTTAGCGACTACCCACGTGAAACAGTTTCAGTTCTCCTCCTCACGAGCACGTGCCTGTCTCGCCCCCTCAAGAGACATCTATTTCTCCTCCTCACGAGCACGTGCCAGTCTGGCCCCCTTAGGGTACATCTATTTTACTTTTCTGTGTTATAATGAAGCAATTAGGACTCTGTTGTGTCTTCTTTGAGGCAAGATTTATCACTGGATTATGATCTGTGTTTCCTTGTGCCCCCGTTTATATAACGCTTTAAAAACATAAGATCTGTCAAAGATTTAGCACAATTTTATTAAGAAAGTGAAGAATACTTCTGTGAGCTAACTTGGAATCTTATTCAATTGATGATACATTACAGAGAGCACATGGCTATATTCGTAGAAGATTTAGATTCCTACTTCACCCCGGAATGTAAACTGAATTAGCTGCTACAAACTATCAAACTGAATTGACTGGTTGATGGCTAAGCTAACGAATGTAACTAATTTTTTTGAAGGCTAAGCTAACGAATGTAAATAAGTATCCTCTACAAATTTCTTGAATAAAAGTTTTGACGATACAAGTAATGCTTTGACTTTTTTTGTAGCTGTAAATAAACGCCGTGCAGTTCCTTCCACTGTAAGTTCTTTTGTAGATTGAATAATCCCGAAAAGAAGGCTGGCAAAACAAAAAGAGAAGTTCTTTCGTAGAAATGGTGGATTACTTTTACAGCAGAAACTTTCAGGGGATTACCTACCCAATGAAAGAGCAATAATTTTTACTAGCAAAGACCTCTGGAGGGCCACAAACAACTATAACGAAGGAAACATAATTGGCAGGGGGGGTCATGGAACAGTTTACACGGGAATTTTACCTGATAGTAGAGTGGTTTAAGAAGTTCAGAATAAGTGATCAAATTCAATTTGAACATATTATCAATGAATTATCATTGTTTCCCAAATCAACCACCGGAATGTGGTGAAGTTGATGGGGTGCTGTTTGGAGACAGAAGTCCCTTCATTGGTTTATGAATTCATCCCAAATGGGACTCTTTTCGGCCATATTCATGATCCCTCTCTTGATTACAGATTTTCTTGGGAAATAAGGATAAAAATAGCAGTGGAAATTGCCTGGGCGGTTGCATATTTGCACTCGGCTGCATCAATCCCAATTGTTCAAAGATATATAAAAAGTATAAACATATTGCTGGATCACACCTATACTGCAAAACTGATTGGTTTTCGGAGCTCAAGGTATTAAATCATTTCATTTACAAGCATAAGTTGAAATGGGGTAAAAAAATTTATTTAAAATTTTTCTTTACCATGTCCCTCGTATGCACACTAGTTTCCCTATTCACTTGCAAAATTTTCATAAATGTGCGACGATAAGAACTGAAACCATGAGCTTTGCTTATGGTTGTAAATGGATCAGATCTGCATATATCCAATCAAATCCGTACGAATAATTCTTGGATCCGATCCGATAAGCCACCGATATTTGATTGTTAAATTTATATCCGGTTTGCTGTGTTATTGGATATTCGTTCTGAAATATTTTACACATTATTTTTTATTGGAAAGAGAGGATTCTCAATCTCAATACAAAATTTATTATTATGTAGATTAATTTTTTATATTGAAATTTGATAAATTTAATATTCTTCATTAAAAGTCATAAAGGATAATACAAATTTCAAAATGAAAACAAAAATTATGTGTAATAAATTATACGATAATATATAAAATATATGATATAATTATAACAAATCGGATCGGTTTGTTATCGGATTGGACTGACTTATATTCATATTTGCTCCATTTAGCTAACGGATTATGAGATTTGGATAAAAATCCAATCCATTAACAGTCTAACTTTGCATGCCTTGATACTATATTAAACGACTTCAACTTTTGTCTTCATCATCAGGTTGTTGTTGTTCGCTCTTGGTCAATCTGAGCTCACTGCAATGGTGCAAGGAACATTGGGATACGTGGATACCGAATATTTTCATACAAACCACTTGAGTGACAAAAGCGACGTCTACAGCTTTGGAGTCGTCCTGGCCGAATTAATAACAGGCCGCAAGCCTATTTCTTCAGACGAACCCGATGGATATAGAAGTCTAGCCACGTACTTTGTTTCTGCTATTCAACAAGATAGATTACTACAAATTCTTGACGAGAATTTGGTAGAAGGGGATTTAGTACAGCTGAAACGCATTGCAGAACTTACAGAATGGTGCCTGAGAGTAAAATCAAAAGAGAGACCAAGTATGAAGGTTGCAATTGAGCTTGAAGCATTGAGATCAGTGGAGAATCATCAATTGAGAGATGAAGATTTTAATCACAGAGAAATAATGGAGAAATTATTTCATCCTGCAACCCCTTCAAATATCAATGGTGGATATCTTTTACAGCATAAAAAACTCAGGGACTACTTAGCGAATAAAAATATTAGAATTTTTACTGTAGAAGACCTCCAAAGGGCGACAAACAACTATGATGAAGGAAATATAATTGACCGGGGGCGTTATGGAACAATCTACAAGGGCATTTTGCCTGATTATGGAGTGGTTGCTATTAAGAAGTCAATACAAATTTATCAACAGCAAATTGATAAGTTCATCAATGAACTCGAGATTGCTTCCCAAATCAACCACCAGAATGTAGTGAAAACATTGGGGTGCTGTTTAGGGACGGAAATCCCTTTACTGGTTTATGAGTTCATCACAAACGGAACTCTTTTCAGCCATATTCAGAATCCTTTTCTTGCTTCCGATTTTTCATGGGAAATGAGGATAAAAGTAGCAGCAGAAACTGTTGCAGCACTTGCATATTACATATGGTTCCAGCTATTCACGGAGATATAAAGAGTGAAAACATATTGCTCGACCAAGTTTATACTGCATAAGTGTTTGATTTTGGAGCCTACAAGTTTTATTTTTGGATGCTCAACTCAATTTGAAATTGTTGGGAAAACACCTCCTCAAGAAATGATTTCAGTGGAATATATGAAGAACAATGTATTTGGATTACTTGAACAAGCCTCAAGTTAATCCCCAAGAAAAAAATAACTTTGAATTTATACCCAAGATGAACAACATTCAATCTTGTAAAATTCTCTCCAAGTTTTCTCTCAATTTTCTCTCTGAAATCGGGCTCAAGGGTTATATCATAATGAAGAGGCAAAAATTGGAAGTCTACATATATATATATATATACCGGGGCGCCTAGGCGCCACTCTTCGGCAGAAACTGGGCAACGCCTAGGCGCTGATTCCTCTTCTCAACTTCTTCTTCAGCTTCTCTTCTCACAATTCTCCACCTCGTACATCATTTGATAGACCTCAAATTTTGGACGAACACAAGAAGAATAAGCAAGCACCAAAATTCGGCTGCATCATTCAAACCATGATTGCCTACGTATCCAAAACTCGGGATCAAGCCTCCGTAGTTCACCTCCACCTTCATATACACTCCACCTCATTTGAACCCCGCCCCGAAGGGCCATGCCCTCTCGGACATATCAACACGGAATGTGAAGCAAGTCCAAGCAATGTTGAAACTTGCTACCCGTTACCAATTTGGTTAACATGTTAGCTGGGTTCTCATTTGTGTGTACCTTCGAGAGTGAAATATCACCTTCCTCTATGACATCACGCACAAAATGATACCTGACGTCGATATGCTTGGTTCGAGCATGATGAACCTGATTCTTAGCCAAGTGAATCGCACTCTAGCTATCACATCACAAGTCCAGACAATCCTGCTCAATCCCCAAGTCATCTAGAAGACCCCATAACCACAATGCTTCCTTCACTCCCTCTGCCATGGCCATATACTCGACCTCTGTAGTAGAAAGAGCATCTGTAGCCTGTAACATCGATCGCCAACTAACTGGGGCACCGTGTATGCAAAACACATATCCAATAGTAGATCGTCATCTATCTAGATCACCTGCATAATCCGACTCCACAAACCAACTTATATGACATGTATCTCCACCAAAACATAAACCCGTATCTGCGGTACCTTTTAAGTACCTCGGGATCCACTTCACAGCTTCCCAGTGTGCCTTCCCCGGATTCGCCATGAATCTACAGACCACACTAACCGCCTGTGAAATATCTAGGCGTGTACACACCATGGCATACATCAAACTACCAACTGCACTAGCATAAGGCACACGATCCATGCGTCCCTTTTCTTCCAGTGTAGTAGGAGACTATTTACCAGAGAGCCTGAAATGTGAAGCCAATGGAGTCACCACCGACTTTGCACCTTGCAACCCGAACCTAGCAATAACCCGCTCAATGTAGCCTTTTGACTCAAGAACATTCACCGGTTCGTCCTCTCTCTTCTAATCTCCATACCCAGTATTTTCCTAGCAGCCCCGATATCCTTCATCTCAAACTCTTTACCAAGTTGAGATTTCAACCTATCTATCTCCACCTTACTTTTCGAAGCGATAAGCATGTCATCCACATACAATAGAAGACAGATATAGTTACCTCCCCGAAGTTTCTGAATATAAACACAACAGTCATACTCACTTCTGGAGAAACCATGCTTTAGCATGAAGGAGTCAAATCGCTTGTACCACTGCCGAGGAGATTGCTTCAATCCATATAGTGATTTTCTCAAGCGACATACCTGACGTTCCTTATCCTCAACCTTGTAGCCCTCAGGTTGATGCATATAGATCTCCTCATCCAAGTCCCCGTGCAAGAAGGCGGTTTTGACATCGAGTTGTTCCAGCTCAAGATCATGATGAGCAACAATACTCAATAACACCCGAATGGAAGTATGCTTGACCACCGGAGAAAAGATCTCATTGTAGTCAACTCCCTCTCTTTGTGCAAACCCCTTAGCCACTAACCTTGCTTTGAATCTTGTACCGCCGAGCTTGGTAGGATCCTCTTTCTTTTTGTACAACCACTTGCAACCAATAGCTTTCTTACCTATGGGCAATGGGACAACCTCCCATATTTGGTTCTTGTAAAGTGATTCTATCTCTTCTTCCATTGATGCCAACCAACTCTCACTATTGTTGTTCAAAATAGCTTCCTTGAAAGTGGTAGGCTATTCATCCTCCACCGAGAGTGCATACTCAACCAAATTTGTCTGCCCATAGTGCCTCAAAGGCTCGTCTAACCCCAACTTTAGAACTTGCTTGTAAGTACGGCGTGGCCTAGAGGAAGCCAAGTTATCTGCAAGCTACTGTTGTTGCTGTGCCTGTATATTCTCTTGCTGAACCGCCTCTTGTTCAAGCCCATCATCACTCTCATCTTGAGTGTCTGTATGATGCTCCTCTTGAACATGCCTAGAATCAGGTTGATCTCTAGGTTCTATGTCAACAACTTGAGACATTGTAGTCTCAACATCATCACCACCGGGCACTGTAGCTTTCAACGAAGCTACCATGTAGTTCTCATCAAAAGTAACATCTCTGCTAATTATGAACTTAGAATCCTCTACACACCAAAGACGATAGGCTTTAACACCTACAGCATATCCCAAGAATATAGCATTCTTGGCCCTCGCATCAAGCTTTCCCTCGTTGACATGATAGTAGGCTGTACATCCGAATGTTCTGAGTTTCTCATAATCTGCATGTTCTCCTGTCAATACCCTATAAGGTACATCTCCATCTAACCTTCAATGTGGAGACTGGTTCACTATGTAGCAAGCATTTGTAACTGACTCTGCCCACCATTCTCTGCCCAAACCAGCATAAGATCGCATACACATCGATTTCTCTCGAAATGTGCGATTCAGTCTTTTCGTGACCCCATTTTGTTGCGGTGTATTTCTAACTGTCCAGTATCTCACAATGCCTTCCTTACCACAGAATTCCTTGAAAGCACCATCTGTATACTCAGTACCGTTATCAGATCGCAGTGTCTTCAATTTCTTTCCTGTTCTGTTTTCAACCATTGCTTTCCACTTCTTAAAAGTGTCGAATACCTCATTCTTATGCTTCAAAAAATAAATCCAAGCATATCTAGAATAATCATCAACAAATATAACAAAATACCTAGAACCTCCTTTGGAAGTGACAGAAGCTGGGCCCCATACATCCGTGTGCACATAGTCAAAAATGCCTCCACTTCTATGTTTGCTTGGCTGGAACTGAACTCGTTGTGCTTTACCGTACACGCAATGGTCGCAAAAATCGATGCAAGACTTCTTCAAGTTCTTTAACAAACCTTTTTTGACTAGCAAATCTAGCCCCTTTTCAGACATATGCCCAAGCCTCCTATGCCATAGCCGAGTGCACTCACATGGGTCTCCACCACTTCCACTTGTTCCAACTGCTACATCTTCAGTAACTGTAGTACCTTGAAGAGCATAGAGATTGCCTTCACGAATACCCTTCATCACAATCAAAGAACCACGAACAACCTTCTTTACTCCATTCTATGTTACAATCTTGCAACCACCGGAGTCTAAGGCACCAACAGAGATAAGGTTCTTCCGTAAATCGGGAACATGTCTAACATCCATCAATGTTCTAACCACTCCATCATGCATCTTGAT